AGTTAGCAGCAGTTCTCATATTGCTTTTTTCAGTATAAAATAGAAAACGAACAATTAATGAAATAGGAGAAAAACAGAAGTAAAAGAATTGTTATAATTTGCTTAAAAATGTGATTTGATAAATCAAGGCCACTTCAAACTTAACATATATCAGTCTACAGTAAATCAAATATTTCAACAAGCTTATCTCAAAGTGTCTTCCCTGTTTAAATTAAATTAAATTGGAAATAAAACTTTGATTTGAAAAAATCATCAGGATGTCTAGGGAATCAGAAGATTCTTAGATTAATAAAGTGAAAGTTGTACATTGTGAGACAGTGAAGTGAAATCTGTCATTTTTGCTGTGTATTAATGGAATTTGTGTTTCAGATAAAAAGTTAATTGAGGAACAAAATTCGAATCTAAACTTTTCTTTCTAGGTATTATTTTGCATATACTGTATGTTTATTTACTGTATATTAAAAAATATAGATTTGTGTTCAATCTCCACCTCCAATTTCAGATCTGTATACAGTAAGTATTGAGACAAATTAAATTAAAGTAAACTAGTATAACTTAAAGTAAAGTTAATTAAATGTGTGTAAAGTTAGTATTTATATTTATTAATTATTCACAGTATTATCAGTTTAACAAGAAAAATAGAAGTCGAGAGCACTTATTAATGCTACGTCAAACCACAGTAGGTTGCATGTTTTTAACATTTTTATCAGCTTCCTCTTCCATCTCTATTAATAGACAAAGGAGATTATATTAAAAAGAAGATTAAACGGAGTGTAATGTCTGAACTGGCTGGCACTCAAGGGAGAGGTAGGATTAAAGGAGCAAACACACTTGTTGTAAAGGCTGGTGCAGTCATACAGACACCTTTGAAAGATCTCCTACATCTTCAATACAAAATGCCTTAGAGATAATTGTTACCATGGTGATTATGTGTCCCCTCACACATTAATATTCTACAGTAAAAACATTGAAATGTTCAGACAAATGCAAACAATTTATACAAAATTAGCTGTTAAAGATTTTTCAAAGTGTACATACAGTAAGTGTTAGCATTATCAGTATAAAAACAACAACATTTTTCACAGGAGAGTAAGTGTAACCTAGTAATCAACTATATTCAAACCTAGAGGCTCTTCAAGGCCTAGCTCATCCCAATTTCTGCAGTGTTAAACTGAGTGATTAGTACGTGACTCCCTAGATAAGATACTGTTTCATTGCAGTTACTTTCAGCAATGCATTGTACCCCTTTGTACAGCTAGGTGGAAAGAAACGGGTACTGTAGGTAAGATGTCTTGCTCCCAGGTACAACAGCAGTGTCTACAGCAGAGATATAGACATACAGCTCCCATTTTAATGTCCTAAGGTACTGTAATCACTCTGTCCCCCTCACAATGAGATTGGAAAGATAGTAGATCTTGAAAAAGAAAATAATTATTAATGATTACTTTTAGAACTGATTTCACACTTGTTAAAGATATTTTATGGGGCCAGTTATTAAGCCTCATATTTTATTATTTCTTTCCTAGTATAATCAATTGCTTTATAGTACATATTTAAATGTGTCAAGAGAAGCCTTGTCTTCTTTGCAGCTAATGGTAAATTATTGTTTTCCCTTTACTTTTTGTTGTTGTACCTTGTATTTTTTACTTTTTGTTCACTGGTCTCAAAATCACCAGTTCACCAGCTATCTGCACGAACCTCCGTTCATAACTAAACAGCCCCAAGGAACTGAAACATGGCTCCCCAACAAGAAAATCAGCCTGAATTAATCTGAATTGTCTAACATTACATGACACTTCATCTCTATTAAGCAACTGACCTTAAGTTCAAAAGTTCAAAATGATCTCCATGTGCTAGTTTTTCTCTTTGCCCTTATTTTTGAAAAATGGTCAAATGCTACGTGAGTAGATAATAAATAGAAGTAATAGTATTTTTTTTTTCTTATGATATTTTCTATGTGCAATTCTTGACCAACACGTAACTGAAGGAAAATGTATAAACCTTTAAATGCAACATTTCATTTTGATAAACTAGCTCACCGACGGTACAAAGGTGAATATAGACGGGAGAAGTACTCACGGTTTTCATGCCCACAATGGACTGCTCCACCTTGGTGACGTAAGTGACATGGTCTTCGTTAGATCGCAGCTCTCTCTGCTGGATCCTCTCATAGATGCCAACCACCATCTCCCGAGGGATGTCTGCGCCGTCATCTACTCCTGGGAAGAAAGGTAACAGTGTCTGATCTTTAATCCGATAACAGACATTCTTTCATATGAGAGAGGGAAGGGAGCTCTGCTGTCAAGAAACAGGGCATTGGAGTCACAACTGGTGCCAGATATTTTCTGAAAGGGTACATTTATTTTTGTTTTCTAGCAAACATTTGGATCAAAATGATCTTCTTGGGAAATGTTATCGTCCCAAGAAAAAAAGGAAAGCTACTCTGTATTGGCACTCTTTTGTAAGAGAAATGTAAGAAAAATCTCTTTATGTGAAAATGTGTTCATTTTACCACAAATAATAAAGAACAAAAAGAGCACAACATAAGAAGAAACAATAGACTACAATAAACTAACTTCAAAAAGCGAAGGCTCAACATGCAACCAGCAACCTCCAACCTTGGTTGGTCCACTGACCTAAATCTACTAAACACTACAATTAATGATTTTTTCATTAAGTTCAAATAATGAAATAGTCTAATGAATGAAACTATTGCAATGAAAACCAAAACACGGATACTCCAGGAATGGATGTGGGATACACTGCTATACCTTCTGATTTCTAATAACAGGAACATGTTCTGGGAGCCACAGTAAATGACAATCTGCAATGGTTATGCTTTCTGAGTACATTTAGTGTTGCTTACATTTTTTGAGTACATTTATGATTCTGTATTCAACCTATTTCCTCATCAATCACACAATCAACAAGTTGCATAAAATAAGTTACAGTAGATTGGTGATTAAACAACTGATTGGATTTTAAATAAATTGCAGTCTTTGTGATTTATACCTTAAGGATTGTCCAGTCACTGACAGCTGGCATTTTTAAATGTTGTGTGTAGAAATTAAATGTGACATTAAAATGAACAGTTTGCATTCTATTCAAAAGCCTCCTCTCTACCTGTGATCGGCAATGACCCCTGTTTGTCTGCATCTTCCTGAACTCTGAAAGTCCATATTTAGAGACAACAACATAGCTCCAATCTTATTTAAATTAGCATTGAGAAAAATGTATTTTTATGATCAACACCCTCTGAGTGATTGTATGAATGTGTTTAATACAAATTCAGAAAAAAAGACCCATAGAGGACTGTTCACAATGGTATACTGAATGGGTTTTGGGATTAGATTACGTACTGTATAAAGGGCTTTTGTTTTTGTGTCAGAAAAAATAGTATTTGCATTTTAATGGTTATATTGTGCGTTTGTTTTACTCAATTGAAATTCATTAACCACATTCAGCTGTCACTACTGACTTTCTCAACAGGTAATCTAGTGGACATTTAATCACATATCAAGACAGGAGTTCAATGGTACAGTACTGTATATACTGTAGTACAAACCTAAGACATACTATATTGTATATTTTTCCACTGCTGTAATTTTTAGTGATCTAAAACCAAAGCAGCATTTATTCAAAGCTACACTACCTGGTATTTTTTGTAAACATGTATTCTTAGAATTTAAAACCTTTACTTTGTTGTATAAAAGCACTGACAGGTTTGGGCCTTTCTATGTGGAAACAGGAGAGGCTGTAACTATGAAAGTATGAGACACTTGCGCCATAGGACAAAGCTACATATTGCTACTTTGTTGTATTGCTTTTCGTTTCATCCTCAAAAAGATTGAACATCAATATTGTATACAGTATGATTCTGAATAATTATGTTTTTTTTTTCCAGAAATGACCAGCAAACGTATGTATTGGGTGCCTTTTCTGTATGTGGCTTTTACCACTGCCCCTTCTCACATGTGCCACTTAAGTTATAACTCTAAAAGCAAAATTATGACATTTAGTATCAGTTTTCAGTAAAAACAACTCATGGGTTGAGAACTGTTATGGGCAGAACCCAATAGTGTACAAGGGACTAGAAAGTTGGTTAACTAAAGAGAAATGACAAAACATCCTTCATATTTTCTGAAGATAGCACAAAAAAGCTGCTTTCAAACCATACCATTCTTTTTAACAAAAGGATTTAGAATGATCTGTCCCTGAAGCACCACCTTTCAATTACACAGTTCAGGCAGAAACATAAGAGGAGGGGTATACTAGCTATCAGGCAAAATGGCATTGGTTTTGTGATCTGAAAATGTAGGTGGTACATTTGATAGCATCGAATTCATTTTATAGAACCAGGACTTCAAGGTCACTGAAGCAGCTAAACAGTCACTGCGGTCACAACTTCAAAAGGCTTCAAATAATTCAGAGAGTTATCAAACATGAATGGGACCTTATAACACTTGAGGGCAAAACATCGTCCTTGATGAGGTTAGGACATTTTCCAGCTCTGATTTCCTGCTGTAACCTCATTCATCTTTTATTTGAACACTAATGCAACAGGAATCTACAAATGATTTTTCTAAACTACACAATTTGCCCCCTTACATAAAGAACAGTAGGCGATTCACCTCCAGCAGCAGCACATGCAATATGTAAGACTTCCCAGATATACTTGAAAATACAGTAGATCCAGTTGGTTGTTAGGATTGACAATCCACTTATACACCCCAATAACATTAAATAAATCCTGGAAATTTCTCTATTCTATCTCAATAAATTGTAGTGCAATCATTGGATTACAGTAGATAATAGATAATACATTTGAGACTTCAACTTTAATCAGTCCAGTGTAGCTGCAATGCTTGTTAATAAGACAGAATTAAGTGTTGCTGTGCTTTCCCAAATGAGGCCCCATCTCTCTCTTCATCTCTGTGATGCAGCCACAGAGAAGTTATTCATGCAGGCTGATTTAAGGTTTCTTTGGATAAGGGACAGCTCCCAAATGGGGATGCACTTAGCTAAGCCTGGCTATCATGATCAATGGTCATCCATTGGCGCCTATCTGTCTAGGGAGTGCCAGATGGACATCTGGACTGCATTCCTAGGTGTCAGGAGTAAGTGACTCTTATCTCACCTTAAAGCCAAGTTAAAGACAACACTAACTAGCAGGTCAGTGAGCATCAGCAGCGCACTGTCGCAAGCCGCACAGCACAGCCTGGCACGGAGCCAGAGAGCACGCAGGAGATCTGAATCCCCAGAGACTGGATGAGTATTCAACTTCAATGCATTACAGCTCGAGAATTCAATTTTATTTATTTTTATTTAGAGTTATGTACTTGTTTTGAGTATCCAATGTAGAAGTTATAACCAAGTTCATTTACGAAACGGTCTAAATTAATGATATACCGAACGTATGTCCTCTTGATTTGTGTAACTCTTCATAACTGAATGAATATTTATCTTTTGTATTCTGATAACCCTCACGATAAGATCTGTTAGGTTTACATGCATATTCTATGTATTAATAAATGTATCCTCGTGTATTAGTACCTGTGTGTGCGTTGTTTGAGTTATATCGCATGGTTGGATTCTAAGGCCATTAAAATAATCAATTTTGTGATTTACTGCTACAATTAATAATTGTCCCAGTAAATGCCCAAACCCCTACAGAACTGGTGCCTCTTGAGAGCACACTACACCAGATAGGGTTAATCTTTTTACCTTTGTTCAATTCAACTTGGATTCATATTTCTAATACAATTGGAATCAATATAGCTCTATACAGTTCACATACGACATGTTGGAAATATATATTGGAAATATATATACTGGATACCCAAGGATTAGGGCTAAACCCAACTGCCAATATAAACAGTTCAGCAGCTTTCTTAAATCCACATTTTGCAAGAAGATGACAGTGTGATTTTGAGCAGCTAGTTAAAAGGCATCTATACAGTACATACAGTAGTGTTGCAAGAAAGAAATGCCACACTGAGGTTTAATAGATTTAATCACATACTATTAACCGTATTGTACTCACCAAGCCAAAAAAAAAAAACATGATAAATCTTGCATATGAAACTTGACTCACTGTCAAAATGAAAATCTAAAAAAGTTAATATTAGGTATGGGTTCCTTGAGCATTAATCAAGTATTACTGTAATTACAACTGTTCAAGTATACTAAAACTCTCGGGGTGGTGAGGTCTGAATTCATTATAGGGAAAACCATTTCAGATTTTTTTTTAAGTTAATGTGTCTCTGCTTTCATAACGTAATTAAAAATCATTATAAGTCTAAAGGACACTCAGTTGAAAGAAAATAAAAAAGTCATAAATATTTGAAAAAATCACTCTATCTTTGGTAAATTTAAGGTTCTTTACAGTGATCACAGACATTTCAAGCTTTCTAAACCAATAACACACCCTGTGGAAACAAAGCAAGGAAAACAATTAATCAGAATAATTTGCAACTGTCCCATCCTGACATGACCCTTTGCATAAAGCAGTGCTGTCTGTTATGTTTTAAATACTTTCACTTGATTCCACTAGTTCATGTTTTACTTCTTTATTTTAAGTCCACTGAATTGACTTTGACAATGCCTTTGAAAATTGTGAATACCCTAAGGAACTAAAAATATTCTATTCCTTCAACTTTTCAGTATTGACATGAACTTATGCTCCTAAATTTATCTTGGTAATCTCTGAGGTAATTCCAGAGCTGTGGCATCTTTTTTATAAGATTAAATTGATCTTTTATAAGGTAACAACAGTTCTAGACAATATTCTAGATGACATCTAACAAGTGCATTGTACAATTATACAAAATATCCCTTGATTTAAATTCTAAAAGCTTTGACTATTTACTAATATTTTATGTGTCATTTTATTGATTCCCCACATTGTCTTTCAGATGATATATTTTAAAGGTTTTTGTCATAAGTAGCCTTTTCAAGATCAGCATGCACCATGTTCTATTTATCTTTTATGTTTTTGCTATCAGCATGTAGTACTCATGTTCTGTACCTCAGACGGCAAGGACATCTACAGTAGCTCCTGACTTGAAGGTCCCAGATTCAATCCCAGGTCAGGTAAGGGCAAGTAATGTACACTGTAGCTTGTTCTACTTCCTTCCAGAAAGCTCCCAGGTTTACTCAGCCTGCTTTCCAAATTAGAACCGGGGATTAATCCTTCTGTCCTTCTGGGGGTAATAGGCCA